TAGGTGCATCAGGCCGGCAGGCAGAGGTGGTTAGGGGTGATCAGGCAGGCAGGCCAGCGATTAGGAGCCAGTGGTCCTGGATTGCGAGAGGGATGTCTGGCAGTCAGACATTCGCCAAGGGGTCCCAGATTGGAGAGGGACCACTCCCCCCGCCCCCCCGCACAAATTTCATTCACTGGGCCTCTAGTACCAAATAATGTCACAGCAAACTATGAATGAAAATGTCAAGGTATTTCTAAAATTAAAGGATAGCTATGCAGAACACAAAGAACCTGTAACTTGGAAAGGGGAGAATAGGGAGTTATTGTTTAAAGCTTACAGAGTTTCACTCAGGGGCAATGAAAACGACCTAGAGAAGGGCAGTGGTGATGACTATGTGACAATGTGAAAGTACTGATGCTACTGAACTGTACACTTTGAAAAAGTTAAAATGGTAAATTTTATGTTATGTATATTTTATCACAAAGACAACCTGAATATTCTCATTCATAGCAGTGACATACTTTAAACAAAATATCATTGGTCCATTTCAATTACTGACATTGGTTGGAATGGTGCTGGGTTATGAATTTAATTAGTTTTATGGTTGATCTGTTATTCATACATTTGTCTCCGTGGCATAACTTTTTGCCCAAAAGTGGAGGTTCACAAGAAACTTGTCTCTTTTAAAACAAATCTAGCCTGGCTGGTGTGGCTCAGTGGTTGAGCGTCAACCTATGAATCAGGAAGTCACAGTTTGATTTCCAATCAGGGGCACATGCCCGGGTTGAGGGATCGATCCCCAGTGTGGGGTGTGAATGAGGCAGCCGATGGATGATTCTCTCTCTCTCTCTCGCTCTCCTTTCCTCTCTGAAATCAATAAAAATATTTTTTTAAATAATAATAACAAAAAAGAAAAGAAAACAAATCTATATGAGCCCTGGCCTGTGTGGCTCAGTTGATTGAGCATGGTCCCATGAGCCAGAAGGTCGCAGGTTTGAGTCCCCATTAGAGCACAAGCTGGGATTTTGGGCTTGATCCTCAGCACAGATGGGTAGGAGATAGGAGGCAGCTGGAGGATGTTTCTCTTTCACATCTATGTTTCTCTCTTTCTCTCTCTCCTCTCTCACACTCCCACCCTCCCTCTCTCTAAAATCAATAAAATCATATTTAAAAAATATAGAATAAAACAAATCTACATGAGACTTGAGTTTAAAAGTCAATGAGCGGTGATATCAGAGGAATGGCCCTGTGAGAGCACACTTCCTCCTCCCTGAAATTTCAACAAGTTAACCAACTATATTTCAACAAAGAAATTCTGCTCAGACAGGAGCACTGAAACATCTAAAGGTGGGTTTACGGAGATGAGAAGGGAGGAAAGTGCAGAAGGCCTGCAGATGTAGCCCTGCAGCCAGGAGCTCGTGGCTTGGCTGGCCTGAGGAGCGAAAGTTGAGGTGCGGGGGGAGGAGGTAGCAGGCCTTTCCTTCTCCCGAAGGAACAGAGAGCTGCTGGGGGTGGGGAAGGGCAGCCCAGCAGGGCGAGTGGCGAGGAAACAAACAGGGACAGAGTCAGCAGATGCCTGGCAGAGCAAGGCTTCTCCCTGCGGCTTCCCACTGTCGGGCCAGCAGTGGGGTGTCAGACAAAGAAACAGAACCAGAGCCCTGCCGCCGCTTGGACTCCACAAACTCGCCTCCCGTGGCCCTTGGCGCCGGGTCCAGGAGCATATGATCTGGAAGCCAAGAGCTACTGCAGTAGAACTGGTTTCCACCTGTGACTGCTTCCCAAGACGGGTACTTGGGGGGGGACCCCACGGAGGTCAGGGGTGGCCATTACAGTGAGGGCAAAACAAACCCTACCCCAAGCAGCAGATCGGTACCATCTTAGGGAAACCTCACAGGCTCACCTCCGGAAGACCACAGAGGTAAAAAACCTTGCGATTCAAAAAAAAGAAAAAAGCCCTAGCCGGTTTGGCTCAGTGGATAGAGCATCAGCCTGTGGACCGAAGGGTCCTGGGTTCGATTTCAGTCAAAGGCACATACCTCGGTTGCAGGCTCCTTCCTGGCCCAGGCCCTAGGCCTGGGGCACATGCAGGAAGTAACCCATCAATGTGTTTCTCTCAAATCAATGTTTCTCTCTGTCTTTCCCTTTCTCTCCCACTCTCTCTAAAAATTAACGGAAAAATATCCTCGGTGAGGATTAAAAAATAAAAATAAAAATAAATCTTTCGATGCAGCGCAATCTACTGGAAAATAATAGAGAGACCTCTTCAGAGATAAATGTGTAAACAAAGGAGGACAGCAAATACCATGAAGAACCACAGCAAAGAGAATGACCAGAAAGAAAATGAAAAGTCTCCAGAAAGCAAACTTGAACACATGGAAATATGTGATATAAATGAGAGATTTCAAGATTGCAATTCTGAAAATACTCAACGAGATGCAAGAAAATACCAGCAGGCAATTCAGTGCACTCAGAAAACAAATCAATAAACAAAATGAATACTTTACCAAAGAGATTAAAACTTTTAAAAAGAACCAATCAGAAATCATAGTAATAAAGCATGCAGTTAAGGAAATTAAAAGTGAACTATTCAGCAAAGAGAACAGAACCAACCAGATGGAGGAAAGCATTAGTGATACCAAAGACAGGAATCAAGATATGACGCAGAGGGAAGGAGAGACATAAGCATAAAAAAAAATGAAGGAGCTCTACTAGACCGATCTGACTCCATCAGAAAAAGCAATATTAGAATTACAGGCATTGCGGAAGACGGAGAAAGGGAGCAGGGAATGGAACCTATTCAAATAAACAGTTGATGAGACCTTCCCAAATCTATGAAAATAAGTAGATCCTCGAATCCAAGAAGCAAACAGAACTCCTAGTTACCTCAATGCAAAGAGGCCCCCTCTCCAAGGCACTTTGGTACTAAAGCTGTCGAGAATTAATGACAGCCGTAACCGGTTTGGCTCAGTGGATAGAGCATCGGCCTGCAGACTGAAAGGTCCCAGGTTCGATTCCGGTCAAGGGCATATACCTTGGTTGCGGGCACATCCCCAGTAGGGGGTGTGCAGGAGGCAGATGATCGATGTTTCTCTCATCGATGTTTCTAGCTCTTTATCTCTCTCCCTTCCTCTCTGTAAAAAATCAATAAAATATATTTAAAAAAAAAAGAATTACAAAGAAAAAATTCTCAAAGCAGCCAGGAAAAAGGAGGATGTGACCTACGAAGGAAAATCCATCAGAATGTCATCTAAACTCTACAAGCCACAAGAGAGTGGAACCAAATATTAAAACTCTACAAGCCA